GACTCCGCGTTTTACAAATTTTTGACTCCGCGTTTTACAAATCCACTCCACTCCGCGTTTTACAAATCCACTCCACTCCGCGTTTTACAACATGCCCTCATTAACACCCATTCCAGGGCTTAAGTAAATAAATTTAGTCAAATTTCCTGTCAGGTAAATTAAAATTTTTAGACCAAGTCTGGTCAATTATGATATTCCAAAATATTTCAAAACCGTTACTACAGGCAAAGGGCCAAGGAATGATATTATTGACATAGCGCATTTTTCTACTCTTGTAATATAAATCTGTCTGATTATAAGTTCACCTCAATCGCATGTGAGACTGATGAGTTCTCCAAGATTAATAATAATGATGGTACTTATATAGCGCCTATACATTGCTATCCTAATACTATACATTGCTGTCTTTCCCAGACATCACATGGTTCCTCTGGGAGCTATTTGGTTTCCACCTGTGGTAACACTTGGAGGTAGGCCTTAGATGACCTCTGCAGCGTAATTCTAGAGCTTTCTGATATAAATAAAGTTGGTTCATTTTTTCTCTTATGAAAGAGATGACTCTAACTGAACTTCTGTAAAGAGAGAACGAATTAGAAATGATAGAGCTGTCCAGTATAAATAAAGTTGGTTTACTGTTTGGGTGCTAGCCACGATTTTGAAATATTTCGCTCAGTAATGAACTGGACTTGGTCCAAGATTGAAGAATTTATCCTGCAAGAATTTTTCCTGAATTTAGTTAATTGCTTGTGTAAGAAAAGACTATATGTCTAAATCGTTGACCACAAGCCAAGCTAGACTTAGCTAAATTTGTCATAGGAAATTTATATAAATCTATAAATTCCCAAACAGGATATCCCATACTTTACAGGCTTTATTCGTTGATAAAACAGCATTTTGTTTAATTTGAAGCACTTAGGACCTTATCGGTACAATGAAAATCGCAATTAATTTTCATACGAGTGTCTGAAGTCTTCCTAAATAGATTTTATCTCGTTGTAAATAAAACTTAAAGATTTGAAGTCAGTGACTAGCTTGGTCAAACCATTGTGATTTGGGATATAACCATCTCGACTGACGACCGAATTAAAACGCTAATTGTCACCCTGCCCTAATTTGATTTACTTTTTACTCCTTGGAAACGTGCAGGATTTTAGTTAGCTTTCCACTAACATACCATATGTAACACACTTTGATTTTTGCTCGTTTCAGAGAGCATGAAATTCCTTAAGGTCGATCAGTGATCTTTCGTAGCTAGTAACTACTGTTCTGATAATGTAAGCACAGAATAGAATAGAATAGAATAGAATAATGGTAAATTTAAATCGATGGGAATAAATTTGGGATTCTATTTAGCATGAGCCTAGTCAATAGAATAGAACTCGATGCAAATATAATAGACCTCGTTATCTCTGTTTTCAGTTGTCTTGGTTTGTGCAGGAAATGATCTGTTCATCGTCACGTGTATATTGTATTTTTGCCAGAGCAACCAATAGCTGCATGTGTTTTCATTTAACCATTGTGTAATATCATGACTGGGTAATCAAACCAACACACTGCTATTGGTTGCCGGGTTGGGCGAAAAAACAATGCACACGTGACTATGAACCAATCATTTCTTGCATGAACCAAGTCGAAAACATAGCCGGATAATGCATGAGGTCTAAGATTATATGTCTGTATCGAGTTCCCTAACCTTATTTTGTTGACAATGGTATGAGTTCCTACTGTAGGCATCCCATCGCCCACGTTGATGTTTGCTCATCATTAAACCCTCCTGGGTGTTTTAAGTCTTTTCGAAGCTCGTTGACGTTGTGGACAACGGAGAGATTGAAATCCTTTGTAATTGATAATGGTTTGGCAATGCTATATCTGCCAAGGTTAGAACTGCATGTGTGGGTAAGCCGCGATATATTGCATTTTGAATGCTAGACGTTTTCCCCTCATAGCTGTCCTTGACAATGACAACTCAATAATTTTATTCAATCTTCGTCAAATAAGGATCTTACATGCTTGTGTTGAAACTGAGTTATCTTGGGATCTGCACTGAGTGATAGGCTCGCCCATAAAGTCAAACTTGGTGCTGAAGTGCTCTTGATTAACATTTTAATATTTCGTTGGAGAAGTTGATGCTCCAATTTAGTGCACATACTGCCAGTATGCCCAGTAGTACTGGGCATTTAAGAGGAAGTTTTTCAGTTCAATGAAAAGTGTTCAAAACCTAAGATCGTTTTGGTATTCCTCTCAAAATTACTTTGTTTTAGCTTTATTTTGTAGTTTACACACTTAGGAACCTTTTTAAATGTATCTTTTTAAAATAACAGTTAAATATTATGTATTTAAATACGATTATCAGTGATGCTGTAAAATTGACGCAATATATATTTATGATGCCTGGGCTATAAATATACACTGCCTGTATAATGCTACCCTCTAACTAGCAATTCTGCAACATGATAGTCTATTTTGTTAAAGTTTTGTGTGGGTGGGTGACGGGAGGGGGGGAGTACACAATGGTTAAAATAAATAAATAAAAGCATTAGTAATTTCAATTTGCATTAGTTTTAGCACAGGAAAAGTCTTATTTACAAACATTGCATTCAGAAAACTAAAGTTTACGGTATTTCCCCTATTTTCTCAATCATAGCATAAAAGGTCAAATATTGCAATAAAACTCAAATTTTGTGAAAAGTAATTTAATGATTAACAAATTATACCAGTTTTAATTCTAGTCAATGTATTTTGAAACTCAACTTCTGTCGAACCAGCAAAATTTTCCGCTTTTCAGTTCTGCTGATATCAGCATCCATTATTTCTACAGGTGAAATGGACAAAATTTATATATATATATATATATATATATATATATATATATATATATATATATATATATATATATATATATATATATTAATATTAATATTTTCAATGTCATTTGCGCTGTGAATCGCACTGGGCAGTAACAAGATCAAATATTATTGACCCTTTGCTTGCTGTGAGTCAAATTTTTCGTACGTTTGTCAACTAATAAATGAACAATACATGACCTTGTACGCGAATCTCACTATACCCTTGTCGCGAAAGCGGCAAAATTGACGCCGTAAACGAGTTTTTAAAACTTAACGTTTTCGATTGCGCAGATTATGCTAATGACCTAACGCCCGATTCAATTTGCGCAGATCTAATTTACGGCGAGTTTAGTTCGCGGGTACGATGTAAAAACCGGTGAATGCAGAAGACAGAAGTTTTATCCGTTGACAATTACATAGCTATCCTGCTAGGTAATCCATTCAATAAAATATTTACGTTTTTGCAATCTGATAATGTCAATGCTGAGACGCCAAAAATCTAATACGAAAATTTGCGGAACGCTTATTGTGCATTTATTATTCGCTGTTTTTCATTGACAATTTATAATTTGCATTATTTGCGCAAAACGGTTATTGCAGCCAAAATGTCTCATTTGCATATTTTGTGCAACCACAGAAAAATTATTCGGATTTCTTGCCACGCCAAGTTGTATCGGCATTGCCATTATTGTGCAGATTATTTAATTCGCATGTTTTATGCAGATTGCATAAAATGCGCAAAAAATAATAACGATAGCATATTTTGCGCAAAATGTGTATCAGCATATTTTGCGCAAAATGTGTTTTTGCGCCAGATTTTTGTCTCAAACGTGCGTGACGCTCTAAATATGCAGGAAATACAACCGGAATGGGTTGCGCATTGCCACACGCTCGACACGCAAACCCATTTTCGGCGTCAAATGCCTGTTTTGGTACTTGAACTATTAAGGATATTTGACCAGGCATTGACGTTGCTCGCGATTTGATCTAGAGCACATGTCATCAGTCTCACCCCGCATGCCACTGTGACACGGCATGGGAAATACCAAGGTATTAACGCATTGACATATTGAAATGCAATTTGCCGCGCCTTGCTAATGCTGTAGATATATATAAGATAGTGTGGAAAACACATCAAAACAAGTTAGCACGCTGAGGCGAGAAGAACACTGTAAGAATAGCAGGATACTTCGTCAATAGAACTTTTGAAGGTAAGATTTATATTATACTATTCTATAACAGTATTGGTTTATTGTACTTTGTATTATTTATACAAGTATATATACCAGTTTTAAAAGACTAGAAGTATATACTAGCTAAGTAATAGAATCAACTCCTTTTGGGCTTATGTTAAAATTCTAGAAAAACAATGCATCTTTTAAAACATCCATGGCATAACCGAAAAGGCGATAACGTACACTCGCTGCATTAGTGCGCAAATATTTTACGATTTAATTTCATAGTTCGCAAACTGTATATCTGGCTTAAAATGCCTTTAAAATTATGTAAAGCATGTCGATATCGTTGATTCGCTACGTGTATTATATTTTACTTTTTTTACATGCTATCGTTTGTTTATAGTTGTTTGCATTGAAGCAATTCGCATCAAATTAGACTGGTTGTTTAAACACAGCCAAACCCCTATCGCGCACGCCATTGTACATATCTATGTACATGCACTTAAAAGATGTCAAAATCTATCGCCACTCCTGTTTTGTTTAATTTCCCCTCTCATTTATTCTCGCTTACGTTTAATTGTCAAAAACACACTCAGAAATTCGGATTGTAACATCCCAAATTTCGCATGCACGTAAGGGTATTTGCATGCCTGTTAACATTTGCATGCACATTCTGCGCTTGTAAATTTTACATATGTTATCTGAATTATCTCAACAAGTGCGCACTACAGAATGCAAAGTGTTGAGTGCGATAGATTTACTCGTGTAGTCCTCCCATAAATATAATTTAGATTGATTTAAATTTTCCGTGCGCATGCATGTAAAATAAGCTGGGAAAATCTTTCAGCTGGGGTCGATCGTCAACCGACACTGCTATAATCAGATTGAGAAATAATATCAAATATTTTTTATTATATGTATTGCTCATATATTGGTGCCGAGTGAATAGAATTGATAAATAGGCCTATAGTTAATTTTCTTGCTGCTATATTAAAAATGTGACAATTCCGAGGTTGACCATGGATCATCTGCCGCCCTGGACCTAATCCTACTGAAATCTGGAGCAATTTTCGAGTTTTCATCAGCCAAAGGGTTTATTAATTTAAACGACTGTTTAATTTAACTGACTATTTCCGACTAGCGCTTCCGATAATGTTTTCTGAGATATCAGTATTTGCGCAACCTATGATTGCAACAATACGCGCGATCGATGTTAATTAATTAGAAATTTTGAAGGTATTTTTTTAATTTGATCCGAGGAACTTGCCAGAATGTCTCTCGGAATGTGTAAACGACTGTTCCTCACTTGGTAGCATTTCCTAATCTAATCATGGGTTAAAGTCAATAATTTAAACTGCCTTTTAGCCTACAGTGAAGATTCTTGCGTAAACGAACCTCATAATAATTTAAGGCTACCTTTACTGTACACTATACTGGATATAGCTTTTCGTAGCGGCGCGACTAAGCATCTATCCGATACGGAATGTACAACTTTCAGAAGCTGAGCGACACAACATCTCTCCGCGTTGCAATAATTCCTCTGAAAATGGCGTTCCTAAAAGATGTCTTTTCACGGAAAGCTGTGGACGTAGCCTAGATTACATTGTATAGGGTTAGGGGTGGGCAACCCTTAACCCTATACCATTGAATGACATGGTTGATATATAACCGAAAAGTCCCAAACTGCATTAAGTAACCATTAATGAAATAGTTGCATAGGAAATTACCAAGTGCAAATGCTAACCAAACTGTTTAAACTCGTCGACATGTTAGCTTCTTATAAATACATGGACTGATTATGTAACTTAATCTCCTGATTGGAAAAATGAATCTAAAATGTAGATGACATCAGAGCCTTGCAACTCGCGCGTAGGCGTCACTTCATGAAAACCATCTATTTGTATAATTCTAAGTGTCATGCATCGTTTTGTCCTATGTATACAATAATTGTGTACAATACAAACAATGTATACTTAATCTTGATTTAAACCCGCATCAACACAGAAAGATTATGCTGGATTATAATATTAACTGAAAAACGTCATGCCACAGCTTGCTCCGCGCCCACCCAGATATTTTCATGTGTGACTAAACCAAACTAACTTTATTTATACCGAATAGCCCTGTCCGATACACGAAAGGTATCCTTCATTAAATTGGCGCAGTGTTACTACCGGAAGAAACCGGTGAGCCAGATATCCTGGGATGTTTGTTAGAGTCAACATGCCGAAAGTAACATTGACATTGCCATTACTTGACCCACAATTTACACTTGAATGTTCCTGCAGTCTGCTCACAGTTATTGCGCATTGCTTCACATGTTTAAAAACATGTACCAACCGGCTACCACTTACAGTTCTAAACAAAGAAAAACAAAGTTGCTTTCATAAAAACATAGACTGCTAAGGACACCCAACAGGAACCTGTGAACAGCGAACTCTGTATATATCTGGTATACTAGAAAAATGTCAGTCATTCGGTCTATGAGAAAAATGACGCCAAGATTGCTGCTGAAATTAACGTCCAAAATCTAGACACGTGCTATATACGTCTTGTATATACTAAAACTGTCTGTACCAGTGTGGGTAGTACCAATGTGAAAATGCTGTGCTGAGGGGTAGTACCAATGTGAAAATAATAATTGTTTTTGTTTGTGGAAACACCACGTAAATTTATTACTGCAAAGCTCCACAAACAAAAACAATTATATTTTATCGCCATGCAAACATTCAAAGAATTCAATGTGAAAATGCTGTGCTGGGTGGTTATATTACTACCTTACTGTACCAGTGTGGGTAGTACCAAAGTGAAAATGCTGTGCTGAGCGGTTATATTACTTATTGCTCTATTGTTTCCATTGAGACATTTAACGTTTCACATTAGCGGATTAATAAGATCGCGCTTCTATCCAGACAATTGACATCTCAATTCCAGCGCATTTAAGCGCGAGTTAGAAAATGCTACTCACAAGTTCATACCTAGAAACGTCGCTCGAAACGTCGAGTTTCTGCTTATTTTTTAATTAAGGTGGTAATATAACCATGCACTCAGCACAACATTTTATACGTCTTATAGTCTTTGAGGGTTTTTTCCCCAGCTAATTCAACGTTTTTTTAACGGATTATATCGCTAATCTAATTATCAGTTGTTCATAAAATCATAATAGTATTCTTTAAATCGAAGTCAAAATTCGAAATTTTGGTATGCTCCTTGCAAACTTAAAACAATCGAATAAATGAAATAAAACAATGGATTCTCCCTTTCGAGTTCTTACTCCATATTTACAGAGAGCTCGCTGACTATACGTAGAACACGTTGAAGCCTTGAAGGCATTCCAGGTATGAACTTGTGATTAGCATTTTGAGATGTCAATTGTCTGAATAGAAGCGCGATCTTATTAATCCGCTAATGTGAAAAGTTAAATGTCTCAATGGAAACAATATAGCAATAAGTGCGCCATATATAGTCGTAATCATTTCTGATGCATGTGCAAAGAGTTTTATAAATGAGCCTAATTTACAAGCACAATAGATATTTTACAGTCGGCTTTTTCAGTAAACGCCATTCAGCCCACTCTTCAATTTGGTGCGGTCTGATCTGATGCAAATCATGCAGAAAACGATATTAATTATTAAAGCATCAAATTCCTGCGATGTAGTTTTGCGCAAATTTTTTGGAATAACTCATTCTACTTCTTGGCTTTGATTCCAAACAGCCAAATTAGGCAATTGGCCGTCATTCTTACTATTAAGATCAATAAGGCGCCTTCGTAGCTATGGGTTTGAGCGAATGACAACGTTGGATATTTCACATACTCTGCATATTTTAATTTAATTAAATGACCTTCCTATGTCGCCATAGGCGAAAGCGTTGAAAAGTTGCTCGCGTGTGGAATTTATTCCTACAAGACAAGGCGCAGGAAATTTTAATAGGATCAAATCAAATATTCACATGGGTTTTGTACTTTTAAGTCTTAATCCGATAACAAAAGGCGGCATAAGCCTCGTCCTGTTGACGGTGACGAGGAATTAACACATGCATTGTAATACGTTATTTTATTTTAGAAAATAGCCCTAAGGAATTGTTTGCGTTATTTTCGTCTTTTAATCCTCACTACACTGCTTTTTGTAAAGCGACATACCTCGCCCTTTTTTCATGAATTAACACGTATTGTTGGATACGCAGATGGGATATTTTTAGCTTCGGGTTGTTTCCTGTCCCATTTGCCACATGCAAAAATTCATCGTATTGCTTCTTCCTTGATTTTCTTTCCTTATTTTGGATTTTTAAGATGCATTGTTTCGGATTATTTTTTGTATTTAGTATCTAAACTTTATCCATTTCATTGTCAATTGTCATTATCATTACCATCATCATCATAATCATCATAATCATCATAACAATCATGATCATCATCATAACAATCACTCTCATTACAACCATGATCAGCACCATCGTCATAACTATCACTCCCATTACAATCATTATCATCATAACTTTCACTCCCATTACAATCATTATCATCATCATCATAACTATCACTCCTATTGACAATCATCATCATCATAACTTTCACTCCCATTACAATCATTATCATCATCATCATAACTATCACTCCTATTGACAATCATCATCATCATAACTTTCACTCCCATTACAATCATTATCATCATCATCATAACTATCACTCCTATTGACAATCATCATCATCATAACTTTCACTCCCATTACAATCATTATCATCATCATCATAACTATCACTCCTATTGACAATCATCATCATCATAACTTTCACTCCCATTACAATCATTATCATCATCATCATAACTATCACTCCTATTGACAATCAATCATCATAACCACCACCTCATTACAATCATTTTAATCGTGATCATCATCACCATAACCACTACGATGATCAGCACCATCCGGTTCAGATTTTGATTCCACTACCGCTACAACCAACCAATAAGACGCATTCAATCCAATTAACCAATCAAATGCGTATTAAGCCAGTCAGAGGTTAACCGGTGGTGGTATTCAAGTCTGAACCTCTGGACAACCAACAAAATGCCTCGTAACTTGTAGATTATAAATTAGATCTGTATTCTGTAACAATATACTTGTTATTATCATCATTATCTAGATATTCATTTCTTGATATTTATTCCTTTCCAGTTGATCATTTAAAATGAGGATAAAAGAAATTATTTTAATCGTTGCCAGTCTCTGCTGTATCTGCAGCAACGCTTTACCAACAAACGTATTGAACGAAATAAATAAAGGTAAGATCTGTGAAAATATTTTTGTTTTGCCAAACATAAAAGCACGACATTATATAATAAGTTTTGTCATTTTGCTCAATGTCCATTGTCTTCTCATTATTTTGAAAATCCCACTATTCTCCATGCCATCCAGTCATGATTCAGTAATAGCAATATTCCATTGTTTTTTCATCATTTTAAAAATCGCACTGTTTATTCATTTATTTATTTATTAACTTTACAATCATACAAAAGTGCTATAAAATATATAACAATTGGACATGAGTCCCATGTGAAGACCAGCATGCCATACAGTCATGATCCAGTAATCACAATGTTCCATTGCCTTTTTATTATTTTAAAATTCTCGCTGTTCTCCATGCCATCCTGTTACGATCCAGTGGTCGGAATGTTCCGTTGTTTTTTCATTATTTTAAAAATCTCGCTGTTCTCCATGCCATCCAGTCATGATTCAGTGATCACAATGTTCCATTGCCTTTTTATTATTTTAAAATTCTCGCTGTTCTCCATGCCATCCAGTCGCGATCCAGTGATCGGAATGTTCCATGGTTTTTTCATTAATTTAAACATCTCACTGTTCTCCATGCCATCCAGTCATGATCCAGCCATCGCATTTCTTTTCATTAGTTTGAAAATCTCACTGTTCTTCATGTCATCCAGTCATGGTACAGTAATAGGAATGTTCCACTGTTTTTCTTCTTCATCATTTTAAAAATCTCACTCTTCTCCATGCCATCTAGCATATAATAATAATTTTTTCTCCACGTGTTAGCTTGTACCCAAGAACCAAGGGACATTTTCCTGGTAGTCGATGGCTCTGCCAGCATTGGAAATGACCAGTTTGAAAGCGTTAGGAAATTTATACTCCAGCTAATCAGTGCAGTCAGGGTCCACGAAGATTACACGCATTTTGGCCTACTGCAGTTCAGTACAAATGAACAAACAAAGATAGAATTTGGTCTAGACGATTCACACGATTCTGATGTGTTAATGGAGAAAGTTCGAGGTTTGAAATATCAAAGCGGACTTGCTACCAGAACTGGACGTGCTTTGGGAATAGTTGAAAGAGAGGTAAGTCGGTTGAATATTATTGACGGATATGAGCTCAGCAAAACTCCTCAAAAATAGTGTCTTTTGACTTATTCTCAGCCTTATACGGTGAAAAAATAGCTTTAACCCTTGGAGAATATCTATGAAGACATCATCTGTTAGAAAAAAATGTCTATACAGAACACTAAACTTACGCCGGAAAGGAGGATAACGTCCACGTCCAGACCTACAAGTTTTTTGCACTTTCCCTAGCCTAGGCGGATCTACTAGGGGGTACAGGGGTGCTTGCCCCTCCTACTTTTGTCCAGCTTTCCTCTAGTGATACCAGCACCCCATGAAGAAAACTCTGCTATTCCATATTAAGTTTAGATTTAACGCCAGAAAATACTCAAACACAAATACGGCGGGTCAAAGTGTAACGTAGCACTTTTCTTAATTTTTGCCTAAAATACAAGTGCCGTGAGGACACATTTAACGAATAAATGTAGTATTCAGAATGGAAGAAATGGCATTTCAGAGCCTCAAAATGGTCTTATCTCCCGCCCCCCATTGACAGATTACTAAAACTGGTTTCGAGCGAATTCGAAAGTTTACGATGTAACTGTAATGTAAGCGAATCAGACAACAACGATACAAAACCATACTTTTCTATTACTCTTTTACACACTATAACAATTCTAAATAACAATTCTAATGTCCGTGTCTCATATTACTAACGTCCTAATACTTTGCCAATCACCCCTGTGTCACTTAATACCTATTAATTAGTATAGTCATATATATTACACTATCCCCCTCTCTAATTGAGAAATTACATAACCATGAACGCTTCTTTCTCACAGGTATTTACACCGGAACACGATGATCGTCCAAACGTACCTGACTATCTCATTATCTTCACTGACGGCCAAGCCACAGACAGAACGATTGCTTTTAGGAATGCCAAGAAGCTGAAAGAAAGAGGAGTGAAAATTGTCGCTATCGGAGCGGGCAAAGGCAAGTTTGAATTCTTGGGTCAGCTGGAAGCAATTGCCAGCTCTCCGTCGGATGTATGGATGGCCGATTTTGATAATTTGAACGAAATTGTTGGAGTTATTGTCAAAGATATTGTCAATGAAGTGTGTCCAACTCCACCCCCGGATCGAAGTAAGTCTTTGGTTTTTGTGTGGGGGTAGGGGGGCATCAAAGGGGGCAGGGGGCGCCCTCTTAATAATTTACAATTGCATAAAAGAATTGTAAAAATGATATGCCCAACAAGTAATTGGTGTTCGATTTCTAGTGGAATACGCAGTTTTCTGATTATAATTTATCCTCAGAAGAGTTCTGCCCAACATTGCAGACTTTCCGAACTTTCCCCCTGTAGTATTTCCTTCTGTGGAAGGGTAAAGCATGACCCTTACTAGACCTCTATAGGGACAAGAGTTTAGAAAATGATAAAACTATTCAGAGTAAATAAAAGGTCAGTTTAAGTTTCCTCATGTAGTAACAATAAGAACGGACTCTTACTGGACCCCTAAGGAGAACAGTTTGGAACTGATAGAGCTATCCAATAGATCTGGATCAATAAGAGACGACTCTTACTGTACCTCGAGGGAGAACAGTTTAGGACTGATAGAATTATGCAGTATGGATAAAATTAGTTTAGTTTAGTTTAGTTCAGGTTACATCCGTATGACTCATATTTTAACCATTGTATTGCGTTCTTTCCAGCTTCAATGATCTGTTCTCAAGAACCACGAGATGTTTTCCTCGTTGTAGACGGCTCGCTCAGTATTGGAAACAGTGATTTTGAAAAAATCCGACAGTTCTTAACGAAACTAATCAAAACAGTGGTGGTTAATCCTAATATGACTCATTTTGGACTGCTGCAGTTTAGCAGTAGGAAGAAGACGAGAATCGAATTTTCGCTCGATTATTCACACAGAGAAGCAACGCTCTTGAATCGTGTAAAGTATTTAAGATATCAAGAAGGTACCAGTACTTACACTGGAATTGCTTTGAAGATTGTTGAAGAACAGGTATGTCGGTTGAGTATTCAAGCTAATTCCTTTACCTTTTTGTTGTTAAGTGCTTGTTAACCTACTTATCCTGCCATCCTGGGTACTTTTGCAGGGATTTTCAGGGTTCTCCTTATCAGGCGGTAACCGGTAAAATTTACCGTTTCCACGAGCACTGATTACCGCCTGGAGAAGCCCAAGTTAAATATACGTTTGTGTACATTTGTTAAGAAATAATTAGTAATAAGGTGTGAGAAAATCCTTTATATAATAACTACAGTGAAACACGCAATTTTATTGGTCAATAGTCGTGCAGGATCAGGCTATCCTGCACGAGGAATTATAATGCCTTCGCGGGATTTTCAAAATGTCATAGTTTCACTGCAGTTATTTTATAAAACAATTACCAAATGGTTTTCCAAGCAGGATAGCGTGATCCATGCACTTGGGATGTTGCTCGACTTTTGGAAAAGTGTCAAAATACACTCGCCTGCAGCTCGAGTATTTTTACGCTTTCCGAAAGTCTCGCGACATCCCTCGTGCATGGATCACGCAATCCTGCACGGAAAACCATTCGGTATTCCTTTAATAATCAATCAATCAAGTATTGCTGAAATTCCACAATATTAATTATTTAGCATCGATAGATTGAATACAGAAATATCCTATAAACCCGATCTGTGAACAAAATTTTTTGGCGGAATGATTATATTATCAACCCAGCGTGGGCCTGAGGACTGAGTAATTAAATTGGCGTGTGTTTAGAATATAATCTTTAGTATTCTATAAAAGGTTAAATCTTCCCTCAAAATGCAGGAAATGCCATTTCAGATTTCAAAATTTTCCGTTGGTATACCCCAGACCCCCTAGAGGTTTGTATAGGTGCGACTTGATGCTTATACCTGTTGAAAAACCTGTTTTACCTGTCCCACTCACAACTATGGAGAACCCTGGATTTTAAAATCCTAGATTTTTCATAGTACACACGTAAGAACGCACAAGTTGGTACAGGTTTGCAAAGTCGTTCTTACAAATCTGTTCTCAAGCTGTCGACAAGTTGTGTTCGCACTGCTTGTTCCCAGTCGTTGTAACAAGTTTGGAGCAAGCTGTTAGTTAACAACCTGTAACAAGCTTGATGACATTGTTAGACTTGTTAAAAGGTTGTTCTAACAAGTCTGATACAGTCGTGATATAACAAGTAATTAGTTACAAGATTGACGACACAAGGTTGTAACAATATTGTTATATTATGACTGTATCGGACTTGTTGGAACAACCTTGCAACAACTCTGATAATATCAACAAAGTTGTCAACAAGTTGTTTCAAAGTTGTTGACAACTTGGACAAGAAGTGCGAACACAACTTGTTGACGGCTTGTGGGCAGACTTGCTACAAGATGCGAGATTTTTACAAGTGTAACACACGCCTCGATGCAAAATGCCAATTCCTCAAGTTTTCGTTTTGCTAACCACCTGTTAAGGAATCTTCTCTGAAGAATATTTCGTTTTCCCCTCCAGGTATTCACAGTCGTAGGGGATGATCGCCCCGAGGTCGAGGACATCCTGATTGTCTTCACCGACGGCGCATCACGTGACCAAAACGTGGCGCGAAAATACGCAGATAAGCTGAAGCAACGAGGGGTGCACATCATTGGCATTGCAGCCGGCTCGAAACGTCGCGAGTTTAAGGACCAGGTTGAGGAGATTGCTAGCAGTCCCGAGGATGTTTTTATGGTTGAATTTGATCAATTGCAAGATGTCATCCATAAGTTGGTCAACAAAGTATGCAAAGCACCACCTAGTAAGTATATATGCTCGCTTTTTCGTTATTTTATACGCCGGTGAAGGCCAGTTACATTAGGGACCGATCATTATTTATGGCGGGGGGTGGCACCGAAGAGAAAAGGGTTGGGTAAACTAAATTTTGAGTAACTAAAAGGTTGGGTAAATGAAAAACAAAACAACTCAAGGGTTGGGTAATACAAAGTTATTGTCATTTCCAAAGCATGACTCACTTAAATATTGGAGACTGAAAAGCAATGTCAACAGTCATATGTCAATACAATATGTAAATCAATCAGCGTCACTATCTTGATCATTTTCCGATTGGTTGGGAGACAAATGGTGTCTCCAAAGAAAGTACATGTACATACAACATGAAAGTTTAGTTATCAAACTTGTGTCACAGAAGTGGTAAAGGACATGTGTGACAACTGAATGGTATTCTTTTGTAAAGGTTCTGGCCAGGGGTGGGTAGTTATTTTTTAACTGATATTTGAGGTTGGGTAATCAAATTTTTTTGCTTTTTAATGGTTGGGTCAGCAAAATTTTTACCAGGAAAACATTTCTCTTCGGTGCCACCCCCCATCATAAATAATGACCGGTCCCTTATCAAAGATTCTGTGATCACAGTAGGAATTTTGCATAGGTAAATTCTACGTTTTGAAGGATTTGTAAGGAATGTTTGAGGGAACCGTGACTCGGTGTTAAACACAGAGTCCCTTGAATATTTCTTACAAATCCTTCAAAACTTCCAGGTGATCTTGATACGCGGAAAAGTACTGGTACTAGTTGTCAAATAGAAATCCATTTTATGATTAAAACAACTGAATATCTCCTGTAATATACTTTATTTCGATTCCAAATTTTTGTCAGAGCTATAGTTCTCATAACCAAACATAATTACAAAATTTCAACTAGTTTCATAAAGAATAATGAAAGATATAATTGACTGAATACATCAAAATGGATTTCTATCCGGACAACCCTTTCTGCGCGCTGATTGGCTAAAATACGAACACGAGATCACCTGGTTAGAAAATAGCTGTGCGAAATTCCTACTGTGATCACAGAGACTTTGATACTGCAAACCAGGCGTAATAAACGCTTTCTCGTTACCCCGCCCAGGAGTTTATGTTTTTACCTGGATTTGTATGTGAGTGTGTATGTATATGTGTTTGCCTGTAATCACGATAGCTCAAAATATACCCAACGTGTAAATTCGCCTATTGTATAATAACTATAATTTATACATGATATGTGACATAATTTATTGTATATTATCTATAACTATACCTCCATACACTAACATTTCCCCCTCCTATTTCAGCCACGCTACCCCCAACAACTACCCCAGCACCCACCACAACACCCGAGCCCACCACAACCCCAGAACCCACGACTACCACCGCCGCCCCAACGACCACCCTTCCTCCTACCACCACACTCCCTCCTACGACTACCCCTAGCCCCACCCCACCACCCCCGGTATGCCATAAAGACATTCAACGAGATGTGCTCATTCTCCTCGACCTACCCAGACAAGTGTCCCCAAAAAAATTCGGAATGGTTAAAAAATATTTGAAAAAAGTTGTCAAGCACATGTCAATCGACGACGGACGATTCATGGTTGGCATCATGAACGTGGGGGATAGCTCGGAGCCACGAATGTATTTGGAGTTCTCGAAAGATTTGACTGAGAAAAAACTTCGGTATAAAATTGATATGTTGAAGCGAGAAGGCTCGAGATATAGTTTCAGTGTTGCAAGTTATCGTCAGGCCGGCTATGAGGTAAGCTGATTTTGACACATATATAGATATATAGCGTTCAACCAACAGCACTTATCCAGATATCGTTTCAAAATCGTTATAGGGACCAGTCCTTATTTATGGCTGGGGGTGGCCACGAAGAGAAATGTTTTTCTTCATGGTAAACATATTGCTGATCCTACCATTAGAAAGTCGACATTTTTTACCCAACCTCGAATATCAATTGAAAAATGAATGCCCACCCCTGGCCAAAAACGTTACAAAAGGATACCATTCAGTTGTCACACATGTCCTTTACCACTTCTGTGATACGATTTTCATAACTGCTTGTGCAATTTCCTGCAGTATCTTTTTTCATGTTGTCTGCACATGTACTTTCTTTGGAGACATCACCTCCTGATAAATCGGAAAATGATCAAGATAGTGTTTTGTATTGACATATGACTTTTGACATTGCTTTTCAGTCTTCAGTATTGAGTGAGTCACGCTTTGGAAATGATAATACGTTTTTAGTACCCACTGAAAATTTTGTTTACCCAACCTTCTCGCTTAAGGCGGGCCAGCTCGGTTCCTAGAATCGTTTAAAGAAATTTAAGAGGGCATAATAACAAGGCGGGATCTTGCCAAACTGGGCCAGCTCCATCTAAACAGCCGTATAGTGATAATTTTTTATCCATATTTTTCTAGTTTCATAAAATGAACTACAAACATCGCCGTTCTGATGTTGAGGATGTGATCATCCTAGTCACGACCAGGACATTGCAGGACCGACCCTCGTGGGACAATGACCTTTTAAGAGCGAAAAAAGAAATTCAAATGTTTGCTCAAATGGGAGTAGAAGTAGTAACATTAGCCTTGGCGAAACAACGCTTCCGTATCTCGATGCAAATGCAACATATGACCAGTTATCGTGAACCAATCATTTTGTCAAGTTATAAAAAGTTGTTGAGAAGCGATGCTAAGGTGCTCGAAGTTATGCAAGGAGTTTGCCCCACTATTAATGGAGTTCCCGGTAAGTTCGTATAAAATATTGAGGATGGTTATATGTACTATTAAAGGTGATCTACAGTCCGTATGTAAACAAAGCCTTTGTTTACATTTTTGTGTCCAAAATATTGAGCTTTATTCGAAAACTATTTATATTTTCAAGCTTCTAGAGTACAATAAATGATCAAGAAACAACAATCAGGCTTTTCAAGAACTCAAAACATAGTTAAACTGTTTGTATCATAAAAAGTGGGCTCATTTGTGCACATGCGCAGATCGGACTGTAGATCACCTTTAAGGTTTAAGTTTAAGATTATAAACAAAGTTTAGTCCAGTATAAACAAAGTCTACGTCGCAGTGAAAATATTGTGAACTAAAACATCATCTTTGCATATTTTTAGCAACAAAACCCCCAAATCCCGAATGCAGAAGAACACCTCATGACATTTTCTTCGTTGTGGACGGATCGGCGAGTATTAGATCGCGCAATTTTGTACATGTGCGAAAATTCCTCATGGATCTCCTCGGCATGCTCCGAGTGGGAATCTCGGACATCAATATAGGAATGCAGCAGTTCAGTGAAGTAAGAAAGACGAAAATTATGATGGATTTGGATAAATATTCGCTGGACGAGCAGATGCAAGTTGTCGATACGATGGTATATCAGAGAGGCAGACGAACAATGACTGGCGATGCTTTGACTATGGTTGCAGATCAGGTTGGTATCGTAAAACTTTGCTTCATTCTATATAATCGGAAGGAGAACTAGGTTAGGATCAAATACACAAGGCCTACTCTGGGATCTTAAATCGCTTTAACTCGCCTTAAATTGCATTGCGTAAAAGTTGCAGTTTTTGCTTAAATCGCTTAAGTCGCCTAAAATCGCTTAGACTCGCATTATCTCGCGGCGAGTTTTGGCAAGTTACTACCTCAGAGCAGGCCGAGCACACCATCATAATTATAACACGATAATTATATAACATCATAATTATAAAATTCCATACGTGTTATAAAAGGAGTTGATGTATGGAATGAAGCTTCCTATAACACATTCAAAAAAGAAATTGAAGAATATTTTTTACTGAAACAAGTTATCGACTCATGTAAGCTTTTGAAATGTACGTAGGACAATGTCTCGTCATACAATAGCTGACATTTTTATCTTCATGATCATATTGTATTAAATCTTTTCATTCACTGTATTAAGAATTAATTTCAATATGTAATATACATACTGAACATAACTAGAGACTTAAATCAAAGCCTTTTTAGCAAAATAATCGATTCTAACGTTTTCTTCCAAAATTTTCGTAGGTCTTCAACGGTGACCCGCAAAACGGCGATAGACCTGGGGTCAAGAATGTCCTATTAATATTCACTGATGGTAATGCGCATGACCTTCCCGTGGCTTTGAAACAAGCCGAAGTCTTGAAATCACGCGGGGTACGCGTGATCACCATTGGGGCTGGGGTCAGAGGAGATGTACGACAATTTGAGGGCGAGCTCAAACAAATGTGCACGGATCCTGCACGTGACTTTTTGATGGTGGACTTTAAGGATCTTAGCGGTTTTGCCAATGAGGCGTTCCCACTGATCTGCAAAGATAAAGCAAGGCAAAAGAAATTGTAAATAAAGAAGAGTGGAAAAGAACGCCGAGGAATGCTTGCCTTCCCGAAGGACTCGGTGTGATGTATTATACAGAGAGCATATAGGAAATACTTGCTATAGACATTATGAAAATGATGCAAGAATGAAAATGACAGGAATTGAAATATATATTTATTATGTAACTAAAATAATAGCCGATCTACATGCATCTGGTCTCTTCTTGGCCGTGACTGTTGCGATCATGTCCAAGTAAAAACCAGGTTTAAGTTAAGAAAATCGTTATAGCTAACAAGCAAATATTAGGTTTAGCTGACTGTAGAGGTTGTTTAAGAACAGTAGCGATCAACACGCGGGCGAAAAGCGCAATTTAAAGATAAATATATACAGGCCAGCAAATGACTTTCAAACACGACATAATAAAAAAAGATTTATTTGACGTTCACATCGCATCTTCAGAGCATTTAGGTTTATTTGCAAGAGTATATTTGCTGAGCTTTTTATTTATTTTTAAATTGTACAAAATGATATTTTATTTAGAAATAAAATTGCTAGTATAAGATATTGATGTCAGTTGTATTGGTTTATTGTTCTGTTTGTTTTTTGTTCACCGTACCAACCTTTTGGACTAAAACAGGCTTCTGCTTTTCCCAACTGCTTAAGGGTGATTGCATGGGGAGCGGTCATTATTTATGGGGTGACACCGAAGAGAAAAGGGTTGGGTAAATAAAATTTTGATTGAGTAGAAAGTTGGGTAAATGAAAAACAAAACAACTCGAGGGTTGGGTAATAAAAAATATATTGCCATTTCCAAAGCATGACTACTCAAATATTCATAAAGACTATTAGACAATGTCAACAGTCATATGTCAATACGATATGCAAATCAATCAGAGTCCCTATCTTATCATTTTCCTATTTGTCAGGAGGCAAATGGTTTTTCCAAAGAAACTGCAAGTGCAGACAACATGAAACTTTAGACTGCAGAAAATTGCACAAGCAGTTATCAAACTTGTGTCACAGAAGTGGTAAAGGACATGTGTGCCAACTGAACGATATCCTTTTGTAAAGGTTCTGGCCAGGGGTGCATGGGTATTTATTTTTAAGTAATATTTGAGGTTGGGTAAAAACATTTTGCCAATGAAATTCCGAAGCCAAATGTTTTCATAATGAAAACATTTGGCTTCGGTGCGACCACCCTCCATAAATAAGGACAGAACCCACCATGAAAGAAATGTGCGTGCTTAAATTATACATGTATTAATTATACATGTATTAATTATGCATTCAGTTGTTTACAGGCCGAAAACGAGACAAATGCTAAAATTTTGATCTCAACAAGTCTAGACAAAACTTTTGTCACAGCTTGAAAGAGCATCACAAAATTAGTAATATTCCAAAGTTTCATTGTGAAATGTTGTAAAATGCGGATAATATGGCCTTGCGAAGTTTGTCATTTTCAGTCATTTTGTATTACGCGCGGGAAATACATACCTCCTTCGGAAAAAGGGTATGTATTTCCCGTTTGTAATACAAAATGACTGAAAATTGCAAACTTCGCAAGGCCATATTATCCGCATTTTACAACATTTCGCAACGAAACTTCGGAATATTACTAATTTTGTGATGCTCTTTCAAGCTGTGATAAAATTTTTGTCTAGACTTGTTGAAATCTAAATTTTAGTCAAAAGGTGAAAGGTCCATTGAGTAACAATTTGCATCCAAACTGAACCAAAATTCTTGCCATGTTTAGTAATATTGAACGTCGGCATGCGATCGCTTAATCCTTTTAAGAGAAGGACCTCAGTCTCGCCGACATTAAAAAATAAGAATTATTGGAATATGTGGAAATTCTCTCCACATGTTTCACCGCGAGATGTGATGACAATGTGCCCTGTTCGTACGAATGACCTTGGCTGCTTGGCTGTACAAATCATTAATAACTTCTTATTAGATAGATATAGAGATAGATAGAGACTTTATTTAAAGAGGGTGACACTTAATAGTACGAAGTACTATATATATATATATATATATATATATATATATATATATATATATATATATATATATATATATATATATATATATATATATATATATATATATATATATATATATATATATATATATATATATATATATATATGATTATAAATATATATATATATATATGATTATAAATATATATATATATATATGATTATAAATATATATATATATGATTATAAATATATATATATGATTATAAATCAATATTCAGTTGACTTTCAAGTTTACTTAATTAAAAAGGTTATATTACATGAGGTATATATGACATTACATTTATATAAAAGAGAACATTAGCTATATTACAATTATATATTACTTAAATTTGAAATCAGGAAAAGAAGTAAATTGTTTAAATAACCGAATTGTTTATTAACCGAACGCAACGTCTGTACCAGTGGTCTGTACAGAGAAATATCGGACCGAGGTCTTTTTTGAGCTTTATTCACGCGCGTTTCTGCACTGACCGCTTTAATGTAATTGTATAGAGATTATGTGCGGGTTGGCATGTACTAAAACCATAGATATCTTATATACACTAGATGGCGCATCTCTTTTAGTAAAATTGAAGCCAAGAATATTCCAGCGGTTACCCCATTTGAATAGATGGCGGCCATGTTGGTCGTTCCCACTTGCTAATAAACGCTTAAAAACAACAATAACTTTCATCATTTGAATATTTGAAAATGTATTTGGAATAGGGTTAACTTAATGTTTAAGTTCCCTGTTTAAGAAATAGAAAACATACGAATCTTCTCATTTCATGGGAACGACCTGAGACTGCAATCACGGCTTCAATTTTTGAATTGCAGAATAATTAGATGCACTATCTAGTGTATATAAGATATCTATGACTAAAACCCAAGGATGGGTTGACTACAAAATTTTTGTAGTTCGCTATAACTACAGCTACTTCAAAAATATGTAGTCAGCTACAACTACTGCTACTTTTGAACAAAGGTAGTTCGCTACTGACTACAGCTACTGCTTAAAAAATGTAGCGAACTATTTCGCTATTTCGCTACACTATATTTTTCAGTTTTACTATATTTGGAGCATCTACTCACTCAGGCTGTAATGTAATCTATAACAAATCGACAAACAGCCAACAGTAAACACAAAGCAACATTTTTGTAAGCACTACAGTGTTCAGGAGTGCAAATTGACTATTGAGTATTGATTTTAAGCAAACTGTGTTTCAATATCATGGCGCTATTCTATCAGGTTGCTAACAATTTTAAAAAGTAGCGAATAGCGATTCGCTGCTTGAAAAGTAGTCAACTACTTGGCTACTTTTAGGCAAAATGTAGTTCGCTATAACTACAACTACTGTTTTAAAAAAGTAGTCAAAAACTACTGGCTACTTGAAAATTGTAGTTCGCTACAGTAGCGAACTACAACTACTTCGCTACAACCCACCCTTGCTAAAACCCGAAAGAAACAACCGGAACGAAACCACCGGAACAAGAATTGGAAATGACCGGAACCACCGAAACCAAAATCGAACATGATCATGTTCGATTTTGGTTTGGCGGTTCCGGTCTTTTCCTATTCTTGTTCCGGTTGTTCCGGTGGTTTCGTTCCGGCTGTTCCGTTCCGTAGTGATGGGCGATACCAGCTTTTTTGGTTTCGATACGATACCAGTCCGATACCATGAATTTTAGTCGATACCGATACCAAAATCGATACCGATACTCAATTTTTTCCATTTATTAAAATAACTTTTAAAACAAGAACATTAATGTTTAAAACAAGTCAAAGAATACTCCAACTGGAGTACCTGCCAAATAATCGAACGTAACATTTGCAATTATGATTTTAAATCTAAACACCAATGTTTTCTTAAAATATATTGCTAATTAGCTACATGTTTTTGTTTAAGAACAGCATCATGTCAACATTTTTTGCCTTCAGGGGCCTTCAGTCTGTTGCCTTCATGAAGTATTTAGCGATTGTTCAGCAATACTGACCAAAAACATCGCAGGCTCAAGTGGTATCGAATTATCGATACTTTTTGCGAGTATCGAAAGTATCGATACTTTTGTAAGTATCGATGATTTCGATACTTTTTCGATAGTATCGCCCATCACTACCGTTCCGATTGTTTCGGGTTTATTTACTTTCGAATATTAACATCAGTTGACATGCGTGGTATTAAGCATTGAGCAAATATGGACGAAGACATCGATGTTTCAGTTGCGGTGAGGCAGCTAAAAGAAGGTCGAAGCGATCCTTCAAGACAAGTTCGCCCTCTGCTCAAGCTTGCTGACTGGCACTTGAGAAAGTCTAAGGAAACCGCGAATGGCGCCGATTTCACAAAAGCGAACGCGCTTTACAACGCTGCTCTTGTAAGGTCGGAACTTCTAAATTATGAAGTTGGCGAAGACCAGATTATTCGAGGAATCGTCGAAACCTATCGCACATTTTTGTCGACGTTTACAAACGATGAGGATGTCGGTGTAGACGAGATTCGCAATGAGATTCGCTCGCATAAGGAGTTCCTTGCCAAGGAGAGGAAGATATTCAAAGATCGTCTTGAGCATCAGTACGAGGTATTTAAAAATATAAATTTGAAGTGAAATGAAAACACAAGTGCAGTTAATTCTCCAATATCTCTTACATCAGCTAACCCTCTTATAAATAGGGATGGACTATTGGAAAAGTGAAGGGAATGGGGTGAGCAGTAGGCAAGTTCAGACTTGCATACTTTTTGCTTCTGTGGTCTGCTTGCTCTGCAAGTTTTTTGTTTTGCTTTGATGGTTTGTTTTTCAATATTATCATTTTATCTGGTTGTATTTTGAGTATAAGGCTTTACTGTCGTTCCAGTTGAAGTGTTGCTCAAATATTGATTCAATACATTACCTCGGGCCGACCAATTCATTTGATCAAGTTCCTCGAGATATTCATACACTTCCTATGAAAGAGCCAATTCCAAGTACTATATTTGATAATTTCTGGTCACTTCCTTTCTATTTATGATTGGTTAGTTGCACAAACAACAAAGGTGATTGGTGCATTCAAACTATTCAACAGGAAGTTTACAATTATACTAGGAAGTGTATGAATATCTCGAGGAACTTGATGAAATGAATTGGTCAGCCCGAGGTAATAATGTATTGAATCAATATTTGAGCAACACTTCAATTGGAACGACAGTAATTGTTTATGAAGGGAGTTTGCTGTATTGTTATAAATGTGGACGTTTTAGATTTCATCCATCAATATAGTGCATTTAATTGCATATAATGGCTGTTATTTTTAAAAGACATTACCCCCTCTTGAGGAACCTGGAATTTCTTTACGCCATGGTTATATGTCCGGCACCGGACCTTCTTGCTTCACAGCTAAAGGTCCGACTAAACCCAACTCTAACCCTGAAAACTAACCCTAACCTAACCCCCTAACCTAACCCAAAAGGGTAAAAAATTATGATCGGCGAGCTAGTGCATATAACACGGGTGCCTAAACCACAATACTACAGGATTTGCTTGAAATTCAATTAAATTTATACACGCTTTTTTTAACGAGTTTCAAATAATATATATATAAAGAATACCAATGGACTTTACTTTAACAAATACAAATGTAATGCATGTGGCATATTGTAGTTTATATGAAATATAATGATTAATTTGCAATATATATTGAACAAATGCATACTCTGTTATTCTTTAAGATCCATACAGATATGATTTACGACGTTTTTCGAGATATTCAAGATATGTACACAAGGCTTGTATCAATGTTAGTCAAAGAATGCGAGGGTAGACTTGGCCAACCACCATGTGACTATGCTATGGTTGCCATGGGCTCAGTAGCACGAATGGAAGCAACGCCTTTTTCAGATTTGGAATTTGCCATTCTATACGCGGACCCTGCTATTGGGGACAAGATTAGCTACTTTCGAGTGTTGACCCATTTTCTTCATTTGAAAGTGATTAATCTAGGGGAGACTATCCTACCAGCTCTTGGGATTGAACAGCTCAATGATTTTCAGTCATCAGCCCCTGATGGTAGTTGGTTCTATGACTCGGACACACCTCCAGGCATTTCATTCGATGGAGCAATGCCATGGGCATCGAAAACACCCCTAGGAAGGATGGCGACGGAGGATAAACCAGCATTGGAGTTGATCAAAACACCAGAAGATATGGCTGAATTACAAGATGAAGAAATTTCTTTAAAAGAAGGTTATCATTTAGGTAATGTTATCTATGATGAACCATATTGTTCAGAACTTTAAAAAAAAACATCTGGCCGAAACGTCTAGCCAGAACTGGGATCAAGTTATATAATCACATTTTAAAAAGTTAATATCTTGATACGCATAGAATAAACTCGTAGCTCAGTTGGCAGACCATTGGACTGGTATCCCAAAGATCACGGGTTCGATTCCCACTGTGGCCAGGCTAACTTTTCAGCCTGCCCGGTGTGGATATACACTTAGAGTAACATCAAAAACGGCATAGAGTAAGCCGCTTAAACATCATGAAGTGTCATTGCGTATACTTTATCTTGCTTTCTTTTTCTTGCTTTCTTTTTCTTTGAATTTTTTGCTCAGTTTTAAAACAACATTTAACCCATTGAGTGGTAGCACTTTCCACTTGACGAGTAAAATCGTCTGGCGTTAGACAGAGCAAAATACTAAAGTTGGGCGCATTAGAGTGCATTGCCACTTAAAGGGTTAAACCACCAAAACTGTAATTAGACCAAAAAGTAATGTTAATGTATTTTTTAGACTGTATAGACTATCATTATGTGGATATTATTTTAATTACTAGTTGACGTTATTCTTTAGCTGATATATTGTTAAGAGTTGCTTTACTTTATGGAAAACGAGCTTTACTGGACGAGTACAACGAACGTGTGGCTGAAAAATTGAATACAAAATCATCTGCAGCAAAAGGCAACTCTACCAAAACGGTAGGCTTCATTCGAGGAATTCAACAAATGATCCTGGACATTGAAACCTATCATCCCCAGAATTGCTATCTTGGAGTACACTGCGCCGTGGGCGGCCTTTTCGATGCCAAGAAAGAATTCTACCGTCTCATATCCCTACTTCTTTCTGATTTGGGACTGATATTCGATATCAGATCTCCCTCACCCTGGCGGGTAATTATGGAGTTGTGGACTCGCGGAATAATTGATGAGACGGAGAAGAACAACATCAAAGAGTGTTTATCGATTGCCAACGAAATACGGCTTAAGGCGTACTTTGCTTATAACAGACAAAAATAACTACTCTCCCCCATTCCTCAATACACGAGCACAATGGAGCAATCCACCGATGCACCGATTTTCGGCGATTTTGATGAAGATATTCTCGTTCATTTCCTAAGTACCAGCAATGACATACATACACGCTGCCATAAATTTTGCTTCAAATTCCATCAAGAAGGCAAAATTGATGTCAACTTATTACGAAATCCATCCTTTCGATCCTCGAAGGCAACTCTGTTTGGCCATCTTTATTTTCGACTGCAACATTTCCCTAAAGCCTTGGAGTGGTTCGAATCTGTACCAAAGAATAGTGCGGACGAGTTTGATAGTCTTTGCGGCCAAGGAAGTATTTACCTTGAGTATGGAGAGTACGTGAAGAGTGTTGAATGCTTTGAAAAGGCACTGGAGATATATTACCAAAATGAACAGCCGTTAGATATAACATTGCTTGCATGCGTTAATAATTTAGCAATGGCATTAAGAAATATGGGGCAATATAAGAAGGCCGGAGTAAAAATGGAAGAAGCAATTGAAAAACACCATCAAGCCTATGGCGAAGATTCCGAGACAGTTATTCTTAGTTCTTTGATGCTAAATCTTGGCATTGGTTACGCTTCTGACGATCCGAGATCAGCGATTGGAACGTATGAAGTGGTTGAAGGGATGCACAACAGATTAATGGACGTCCCTGATCAACATGCTATCGGCCTAAGTCTTAACATGGCCTGTTCGCTTAGTGAACTTAATCAACTTGAACGGTCATTGGAATATATGAAACGAGCACTACAACTTGGGCATCAGGTATATGGCAAAAATAATCAAAGTTCTAAATTGGCTCAAATTTACAAGACCGCGGGTACCGTCTACAAAAATTGCAATCAGAATATGAGGCTCTGTCTTGGTACAAACGAAGTTTAGAATTACTTCAACTTGTATTTCGGGACAATCTTCATCCAGGTATAAGATCAAACATGATTTTTATTCTGCTGTCTTTTAGTTTTAAAACTATATGGTAAGGTTTTTCGTAGATTTTCATTTCTTTTCCTCTAATTTAAGATATTTGGTTTGTTTGAATTTTACTTAGCAACCAACTTGACGTCACGTATGCATAATGAGCTCTCGTTTAACCTTATTATCTTAATTATTTCAGGAAACAATCTCTCTAGAATGAACGTGATTCAGTGTAATACACGCATAATTCCTCTTCCTGCAGGCATGAATGCCCCTGAAGGATATAACCGCGGTCTTAGCGGCCTGATTCACTTTTCTTTTCACTTGCAGATAAAATAGACTGTTTAAATAACTTGGGGAAATTATTCTTTGGAATGGATAAAAAAGATAAAGCTGTGGAGATTTTAGAAGATGCCCTAGAACAGGCGAGGGCGTTTTATTGTGGCAAACCTCACTTAACTCTCGTCGAAGTACTAATTAATCTAGGAGTGGTTTTGCACTCTGCTCAAAACGTGGACTTTGAGAAATGTCTGCAGTATTTTCAAGAAGCGAAAGTGTTAATGGACGAAATCCTTGGCCCAAATCACGCACATTCTCTCACTTCGGAGATATTTAAAAACATGGCCGGGATTTATTACGACCTTGGAGATTTAACCAAGGCTCAACAGTATCTTGGAGATGTTCTAGACATGAACTCCATAATTTGTGGAGAGAATAGCGTTAATGATACCATGGCAACGGTCTGTTCAAATTTGGGCCTTGCTGCGGAGAAGATGGGCAACCTCGGCCAAGCTAAGGAGTACTATAGCGAAGCTGTGAGAATGAGGAATAAATTGATTTCCTCAACCAAGAATACAGATTTTGATCTCTTTGGCAATCTTTATAGACTGAGCTTGATCTGTGAAACTCTTGGAGAGGAGGATGAAGCGCTTAAGCTCTTACAAGAGGCGATGGAGATTGAAAAAGCTGTTGGAACTGAGAACTGGCCGATATGGGATGTAATGCTCAAGCTAAATATGCAGTTGGAGATAGGGTCCTTTGCCAAACTACTGACTCGTTTTCAAGAAGGTTTACAGGTAGCCAAAACAACAGCTGAAGAAGACTGCCCACCTGAATCGTTGAAATATCTGAAGTTACTGAAACAAATTTAACTAACAGGGTAACAGAAATGAACACATTGAGGCGGTCAATTGTACAGTGCAAAAAAAAACAATACCAAACGAACGGTGTTTCGTTTGATATTGATTCTTTGCACTGCATGAATACAAATTGTACAACAGCACAATGCTCGCATGCGTTTATTCAGTCCTTTTAATACTAGCAAAGCTTGGTGAATATCGTTGAAAAAAACTGGACAGACTGTGGAGTGGCTGAAGAAGGATGGCGTTATAACTTATCTTCATTCGCTTGCAATTTCCTTGATATTTTAGGCAAACTTTTAGTACCAAATTGAATGTCGTATAGTGAAGACATGTTAACGTGGTAGACTACCCGTAAATTGCTTCATATGATCTATATGTTTTCTGAATGCCAAATGCAAGGAATTTTTTAATACCATGGACTGATGGGGCATTTGCCCCACTGGACCCCTTCCTCTGCCCCACCACTGCAGAAAAGAATGGCCAATTGCCCCAAAGCCAGGGCCCTAGGACATGTATTGAGTAAATGAGTTTAAAATTTGTTGGTGAACATACTTGTTTTGAGAAGCTTAGTTTCTTTTTTTAAATGTGTTCTCAGAATGCAGGAAATGCTATTTGAGAGACCCAAATTTTAAAAATTTCCCTGGGGCATGCCCCCAGACCCCCTAGCTAACTCGTGCCTGCGGTACTCTGTTCAAACCTTCGGCAATCGCATACTATCCTGGGGGGAGGGCAAGGGAAATGGGCCCTTTGCAGTTTTGTCCCACCACTGAAGAATCCTTAAAAAAATGAACTGGCCAAATGTCAGCAAAGGTCGTGATTTTCAAGGTGACAATAAAACATCTTCGGAATTTTCAAAAAAAACATTGTATAATTAATTGGCATAGTCTTTAATAGCAGAACCTTCCAGGCAAATATCCGATATGATGCTTTTCAACACTTGCCTCGCCTGAACCTCGATGTGAACTCGCTACAAGCTGGCATCAGGTTATTTTTCGCAACTGACTTCAGCCACGTGCGTCATAGGAAATATTTCGCAATTTCGACACGTCTTTTTTATATTATAGTACTATTGTAGTTTATAAACTGGAATTTACGGGGAATGTTATACGCCAAATCATTATGGGATGCAATTTTTTGAAGGTTGTGTTTTGCGATGAAAGGTGTTCAAAACCTAAAATCGCGTTGCCTGGCGTTCCTCTCAAAATTACTTTGTTTTAGCTTTATTTTGCAGTTTACACACTGACAGTTAGCAACCTTATTAAATGTATCTGGCATGGCGGTTGAGAAACACTAAATAATAGTTAAATATTGACAATTTAAATACAGTTACAATGATGCTGTAAAATTGACGCCATATTTATACAGCAATATCAACAAAACGTAGAGAACTTCAGACATCATTTTCTCTTTGGCGTACCCGACTAGTAAAATCTCTTCATTTTAGCATTTGGAATTTCGATACACCAATAATTTTGCTGCTGGGAATATTGGATCTGTATTTCGTAACAGGGTCTGCTACGAGCTTATAAAAGTTGGCTGGACCGCTGTGTAAAGGGCAAAAGGGTCAGGCAAATTTCTTTAACTGGTGTCGGTAGTAGATACACTCATCATCATCATCATCATCATCATCCAAAATAGTTTCCCTCGAGTGCATACACGCGACAATCATCACATGTTACGGGCTTCTTGTCATCAACTTGTTAGCCGAACCTGTTATGCTGATGCGGTTACTCCGAGAACGAGTGCATGCATGTCTCCACACCGGGCACGCTTGAAACGTTTGTAAGTTTGTTTGACCCTAACCCTTTCCACAGTGGCCCAACCAATTTTTAAGCTCGTAACAAAGACGCAAAGTAAGCAAACCTATATAACGATCAGCCTATATCAAGCCCCGTACTGTTTACTTTCTCGTGTATACGCGGCCATGCAAAACCATATATATAGAAGTGTTTATATAATACCTTATTGAATTCTGATCGTTGAATTGACCGTTTATGGTCACGTGATATTGAATAGAAAATCCCATTTCCCAAGAGTGCAATGGAATACGTTCTATTACACTCTTTGCGAGTGCAATTGTACTATACGTTTTATTCCATTGCACTCCTTGTGTTTTCGATAAATCGCATCCGTCGAAATGTGTGTATTTATTTTAATATTAAATGGTGTTTTAATAAACTGTTCTTGAAAAAGCACTATTAGTCTATTTTTGTGATTATATAAAACAAATAATGAATGTTTATAATTCGTGCAATGGTAAGAATATTTTCATTTGGTGAAAGATGGAATGTTCCATTCAACTCGGCTGTCGCCTCGTTGAACGGAACATTCCATCTTTCACCGCATGAAAATATTCTTACCATTGCACTCACAAACATTCATTATTTGTATATTCTTGCACATTTGTCACGTTTTAATCCTTGGCGGCCGTACACGCGAACAAATCTTCCTTGTCCAAAAGCTGGCATGACTAACTTTGGAAGAAGACACCTTACCAAGGAAAAATTGTCAAATTTTTGCCGCATACACACGAGCAAATAAAAGTTGTCAAGGAAAAATTGGGCCAACCTGTACAGTTTTCCACCGTCATCAACCTTGTAACAAGGTGATAACAACTTGTTCCAGACTTGTCACTACAACTGGGAACAAGCGGTGCGAAGACATCTTGATATCGACTTGACAACAATCTTGTTACAACTTATACAACTTGTTTGCATATCTGTTATAACTTGCGCGTTTTTACATATGTGCATTAATCAATCCTGCGTAGAATATATGTCAAGCACAGCGGGCATGTTTTGACACCAACTGAACAATATATTGGCATGATTTTGTAAACAATGTGAAGACAGACATTATAAATGACTTGTCTGTGAGCCAAAGAATCAATGTCAGATTTTTAATTAAATATATTTATTGCCACAGTGAGAGTTTAGTCATTGACACGGTTTATTCACGGAGTTGATCAATCTTCACTAGGGGCTCGCATTATTTCTTGCAAAACAATCGCAACAGTTATTTTTGGTACATTGTTGCACTTATTTTTATGAAACATTTGAGATTGCAGAACATTAATCAAAATTTGTTCGTACTAAACTTGAAACTGTTCTTCCTATAGAGGGATCTCAAAATAAATCAAAAGCTGTTGAGGCCGACTCAAGGATGAGCAGTTTGCAGCTTTTGCAAACAGGCACCATGCGAATTTTGCCATTTGTCGTGCTTCTTTTGCCAAATCAAAAGAACGAACCGGCTGCTCCAGCCCGATTTCCAGTTCTGAAAGACCCGATTTCGCAGGCAAACAGTGCGCGCAAGGCAGGCTGGTTATTTCCCATTGTTTTAACTGCCCCACACTCAAGTAACCACGAAGGCTCGCAGCTGTTACTTCGAAACATCCGTGAGTCAATAATAAACGGTATAATGTTCCCACAAACCCCAATGGCAATGGATTGAAAATAAGTTCACAAAATAAATCAAAGGCCGTTGAGGCCGATTCACGGATAAGATCAAATGAAAGTGACAGAAAGAATTAGAGCAGTTGGCAGTTGTTTTTGCAAACTGGGCACCGTGCGAATTTTGTCATTTCACCCATTTGTCGCGCTTCATTTGCTAAATCAAAAGAACGAACGCGTGCTCCAGCCCGATTTCCGGTTCTTAAAGGCCCGATTCGTAGGCAAACAGTGCGCGCAAAGCAGGCTGGTCAATTCCAATTGTTTAACTGCCTCACACTCACCCCACACTCAAATAACCACAAAGACTCGCAGATGTTGCTCCGCAACATCCGTGAGTCAAAAAACAACACGAACACTATACGATAAAGTATCTGACTAGCAAAAACGACAAGTAACGTATCCAAAATAAAACGTTGAACCATACCAAAAAATAAACAATTTTTCTCATAGCTAGCTTTGGACATGCAGACCATTCAGAAAATATTTAAGTTTTTCATTGTCGTTGCTCGCCAGCAAACACAAACTTGTGCAGCAGAGGTAAGAGGTTTATCACGTTGAGCAGCAAAACGAGGACACAAAAAGAAGAAATGTTTGACAGTTTCTCTTTCATGGCCCCGCCTTCGGCTCCAGTTTGTATATCAGATACAGATCGGCTGCTCATGTTTTATCTAGCACTTAAAAAACGACCCATCTTATGAGTTCATTGGCGAAGTAATTTTAAAAATAAACATTGTCTAAGGCGAGAAAATCAAAGCTCAAGTTTATGTAAATCAGGACAAATCTTTATCCGATTTACAAACATTGATTGAACGTTCATTTCTTTTGTATTTTCCTCGTGAATTATTAATGATTTTTTTAAGGAGACTTATACAACAGTTTATTCTATACAAATAATCATTAAGTGCACAGAATCGTAATCTAAGCCTTTCCAACCCTTAGAAAAAATTGGAGTGTGGATATTCACTAATCCTCCGTCCTCATTTAGAAAAATATATTTCGAAAGTGTAAAGCTTCACATGTGTGCATGGACATATAATTCGTGTCAACTGCAGGCCTTTCGAGAATTCATGTGCATTAATTTAAAAGGGCCATTTATAGCAATTAGTGAAATGATTGATAGAAAGGCTGTGAGGCAATTCAAAGTTCAATTCAATGAGGCAATTAAATTCTCTGTATATGTTCCAAATCTGACATGAATGGTGTTCCAAATCTGACATGACAATTGTTTTTACACGTGGAAATTTGTCAAGGAAAATTTTTTGTCTGTACACGCAATCCAATAAAACTTTTTAACAATTTTTGGAACTAAAAATACTGAAGATTTAAGCCTGGTTCACACAATGAAATAAGTATAAGGGACTGGTCATAAAGTAACTGCTAGGGTGGGCTGGAGGTAAATCACAAATTTTGCCAATAAGTTTGGTGACCCATCTTAGGATGTAGATAAAAATTTCAAAGCCCATCTAATCTTGCCAAATTTATTTCATGACCCACCCACCCAATCCAAATTCGGAGAATACAATTTTATAATAAAAAAAACTTGCAGGTATGAACATTGTA